TTCTTCTTCTGAGGAGAGGATGAAAACCGGCAAAAAGTGTATGTGCAGAGTTCCTCTATTTCTGACAGTTCTCTGACAGCTTCTTCACATGTACAGCGGTTGAAACATCTGTATCCTAAATGGAAACTAATAGATACAATGTTTCAACCGCTGTACATGTGAAGGAACTGTCAGAGAAATGTCAGAAATAGCGGAGCTCTCTGCAGGGACACTTTTGCCGGCTGATCGGGAAAAATCCGATTCGCGCACCCGAAGTAGGCAAATATTCGGATTCGATGCGAATCGAATTTTTCCTGAAATTCGTATCCAATTCCAGTTCGCCTGGTTCGATTCGCTCATCTCTACACAATGTAATGGCTATCAGGCATGGATTACTGGAGGTCCTGCACTGTCTGGCTTCCCAGTGATTTATGAAGGTAGCAATAGCTATGGAAAGTGAATTTGGATCAATAAATGAGATGGAAATTAGGACGGCAAGGAGAAGGTTTTGCTATGGACCTTCATCAATCATACTGTTTGTTGAAACATATTTATTGCTAGTAACCTGCAAACACCAACTAGGTAAAAATCTCGCCAAAACATCTTTCTTAAATTTTGGACACAGTGGTGAAGGGTTGGAACCTCTGTAAGATTTAATTTGCTATCTGTACGGAGGTAACATTTTACTTCTCTAACAAACACCAGGAAGTGAGATGAAATGTATCCAAAAGAAGTGGCCTCTATTCTAAGAAATTTGCTAAAGCTTTGTTCTCTAAATAATTATGCAGGCCAGGAATTTCCAGCCCACGTCTTGAAGTTCAAGCCAGAGGCACAAAATCTCATGAACTGAGGCTGCATCCCCATCAAGAAGCCTTGTGAACAAGTTACTAAATAGGTTGGCATGATTCTCATATTAAAGGCAAGTATAGTATACTCCTCCCTCCTAGTTTGTAAGCTCCAAGGAGCAGGGCCCTCCTAATCCTCTTGTATTGAACTGTATCGTTGCTGTATTGTCTCCCGCTATATAAATCCTGTATAATAATAATAATAATAATATTATATCTTCTCAGGTAGTACATATTGTAAAGTGTTACTAAACCCAGGACCCTGCATTCACTATATCTGGTCTCCCACAGTACACACAACATGGAAATGCAATTATTTTAGTAAATATAAAATGCTATATACCTTTTCACATCAGCAGTTTGAGCAGTCTTGTGACTTCTATCAGTGTCCAGCAGAGCACATGTTAAAGCTTGTAGGAGGAGTATTTTCTATGTAGAACCCCTGAGCTCTGTTTAGACAGTGCTGATTGGCCCTGTGCTGATCACATGCACTCTCCCAAGAAAGAAAAAAAAAAAGAGGTAGAGGTAGACGCTGGAAAAAGTGGAGGATCAGAGAAGCCTGGATCAAACAGCCTTTTTACACAATGCATTGGATTAACCCCTTAGGAGTCACAGTGAGTTTTATTCTGCTCTAGGAGGATGCAGAACCCCTGACCTCTGTCTGGACAATGCTGATTGACCCTGTGCTGATTACATGCACTCTCCAAAGAAAAAAAAACTCTCTAGCAATGCACACCAAACTGAGCATGTGCAGAGTGTTTCTACACCATATGTTCTATCAGAAGATAAGAGGGGGACACTGGAAGAAGGGGAGGATCAGAGAAGTCAGCATAAAACAGCATTTTTACACAATGATGAGGATTAACCCCTTAGGTTCCACAGTGAGTATATCAAGCATTCTTTACTGCATATACAGACTGATTTTACTGTTCTGGGTTGAGTAACACTTTAAGTTAATATTGAAGACTCTTAACTGCTTCCGCAGGACAGCACGGGTGTGCAAAATCATGTATATACGTGATTTTGCAGTTCCGGGTAGGGGGCGCACATGCGCCCTACCCAGGCCGCCCTTTAAGGCCTTGGCTGCCAATGACCAGGTCACAGCTGGTTACTTTGTTGACGGCACCTGGTGATCGCCAACGGGGGAGAGACCTGTGTATAAACAACACATATCTCTCCCCTGTCAGCTCCTGCACACTGCTTTGTATGGCTCTGCATAGCAGAGCCATACAAAGCAGTGTGCTTACAGTGTAAAGCACTCACACAGCACACAGTGAAACAGCACACAGTTAACCCATTGATCGCCCCACATGTTAACCCCTTCCTGCCCAGTGCCATTAGTACAGTGTCAGTGATTTTTATTAGCGATGTCAGTGACACCAAGTCCGTTCCCCCCAGTGTCAGAATGCCCGCTGCAGTCTCGCTATAAATATCTGATTCCCGCCATTACTAGTTAAAAGAAAAAATCCAGTATATATACACCGCCATTTTTAAACACTATAACTATCACGTAAACCAATTAATTAACAAGTATTGGGATTTTTTTAGGCATGTAGCAGAATACATTTTGGCCTAAATTTATGACGAAATTAGATTTTTTAAATTTTCTTACTGGACATGTTTAATAGCAAATAGTCAAAAATATTGTTGTTGTTTTTTTCAAAATTGTAGCGCAAAAAATAAAAACCGCACAGGCGATCAAATACCACCAAAAGAAAGCTCTATTTGTGGGAAAAAAGGACGTAAATTTCATTTGGGTGCAGCATTGCATGACCACGCAATTGTCAGTTAAAATAACTGTATCTCAAAAAAAATGGCCTGGTCAGGTAAATCCTCTGAAGGACAAGTGGTTAATATTACACAAGCTTGTGCCATGTTTTTGTTATTGTAGAGATTTGTAGATTAGCCACGTAGTGCTGTCAGTGCAATTACCTTGCTTAGATAATAAGGGTGATATACTAAAAGAGTCAAGAATCTTAACCCAATAAATTGTGTAAATACTAAGGTTGATTTACTAAAGGCAGACAGATACTGTGCACTTTAACAAAATGAAAAATTTAAAAGATGGGACCGCGATTGTGTAACCTGTGTAGAAAATTAAAAGCTGCGAGCATGCTATGAGATATTTACCATAGCAGACAGTCCAAATATACCAAGATGTGACATGCCTAATTGTTCACTAATATCAGAATTATATCAAATGTGTGTGTCACAAGACATATCAATAAACTCAAGTCCTTTTGTTGTGAATCTCTTCAAAATTGCGTGCAGAAAATGTGTCCCACTCCAAAACGTCACCACCACCAAGAAAGCATAGCAGAGGCTTGCCAGAGGGATATGACTCTCATGTTATAGAGAAGTCTTATTAGGCATGATGTCACAATTGCAATAATATGTAGGCAAGACTCGAAAAGTATTCAACAAAGCAGCCAATAGGAAACACCACCAGAGAAGGTCCTCAAGTCTGCAATCCCACATTTATAGTAACCAAATTAAAAAAAAGGAGACCAGCACTCCACATAGTGTAAAATCCAATATTTACATTAAAACATATATTGCACTCACATTGAAAAGAAGTATCACAGCACTGTGCACAATATCAAAACTGGCCAATTCTCAATTCCGGGGATACTTCTGGTAGCGTAATGACGTTACATAGTGTGGGTCCACCCTAAGTGTTTCGTCAGAGTTGATTAAATACTTTTATTCATCGTGAATGCAATATATAAGTTTTAATAAATTTAATATCGGATTTGAGAACCATTTCTGGTGGTGCTCCCCCAGTTGGCTGCTTTTTATAATACAGTTTGAGTCCTGCCTACATATTATTGCAAGTCAAGTCATATGACTTCTCTATCATTTTAGTCATATTTCTCTGGAAAGCCTCTGCTGTGCTTTCTCGGTGGTGGCAAATTTTTGGAGTGGGATGCACATTTTTTGCATGACATTTTGAAGAGATTCACAAGTGGACTTTGAGTTTATTTCATTTTGAGTTTATTTTATTTTTTTCACTCAAGTTTATGGATACAATATGCTAATATGCACACATTTGATACAATTCTGATATTGGTGAACAATTAGGCACCACACATCTTGGTATATTTAGATTGTTCACTTTGCAAGACAATTTTCTCCAGAGCTTATTAAATGAGAGGAAGTAAACATGTGCAAATAAATCTTTTTTTTTTTAATTTTCATTGAACATAAATGTGTTTACTTTGCAAAGTGAAATAACAAAACATTTGCACGCAGGCAGTTTTTTTAAGACAGAAGAGACATATGATGAGACTGATTTACTAAAGGAGTTGGGTATTTTTACATAATAAATGATTTCATCTGAACATGATTGGATAATTGTGATTATTCTGTTAGATTCTCAATTTCTTTAGTAAATCAGCCTCTACATCTCTTATGCAATAAAACCTTTTTATTGGCCTGCATGCAATCTTCTACAAAATGGACGCCGAGTTGCACATGTGCAGGGGTGGCGAGGCGAGTATAGGCAGCCTTTAAAACTCAACTTTATTCCTGCATCACTCCTCTGCCTCTCTCATGCACTGCCAGCATGAAAAATCCAGCACATTCGCAGAGATCTCTGCCAAGTATTTGGCACCTGGTAGGGAACTGCAGCATATGTGCACACCGCGGGGAATTCCTACATATGCACACAAATGCTGCTAATTTCTAGTATATGACATTGTGGCAGACCATGGTATCAATGCATCTGAGGAGAAATCCTCTGTGCACGCACAGACATACAATACCGTGACATGCCTGTGCATGTGCTAAATTGTGTGGAGTGCGTATGTTCTCTGTAAAACACTGCCCGTGGGATAGGTATGACATGGCAATCCCACAAGGCAGTGGGGCCAGGCCTAGCCGAAGGCAGGAAGTGCCGCCTTGCAGCACAAAAAGGTATTAAACTCTGAAGATAATTGTGAAGCTTTTCCCAATTTTCCAAAGAAAGAGGCGGCAGAAACAAAAGAGAAAATGTTGTTAAGTTCCGCTTTAACTTAAGCTACTGATGCTAGTACAGTTCCATTATTTGCTGCCCATCGTTAGCAATGCATTGATTGATTAAATGTTTACCCAGGCTCCACTTTATGAACCATTTGTATTAACTAGGAACAACCAGATTTAAAGTGTCATGTCATATTGCAGTCTGATTGATTGTATAAAGCAACACAGACAGCTCTTGTACTTGCCATATAATAATAAAAGGCCCAATAAGAAAAGCTTATCATCGGTGAGTGTGCAGAAGCTTACATAATCACATACCCGCAATGACTGCATAATGGCTGCCTTCTGAGCAGCACTCAGCAAAGGCAGAGAAGACCCCAGGCACTTGCAAGCTCTTGTTAGGAGATGGCTGGGTAAAGCACGCAGATAATCTGGACTAAGGACAGGAATCATGGAGTGCAGTCCACAAATCACTTGTTCTGCAATCTGCAAAATGAGGACAAGTACATCACTATGTCATATTGTCATTTTCTTTTATTCCAATAACTCACTCCATACTCCACAATGATTAGTTCCAAGAACTAATCATTGTGGAGTATGGAGCACTAGTCAATGTAGAGTATGGAGCGCTAGTCAATGTAGAGTGCGGAGCGCTAGTCAATGTAGAGAGCGGAGCCCTAGTCAATGTAGAGAGCGAAGCCCTAGTCAATGTAGAGAGCAGAGCCCTAGTCAATGTAGAGAGCGGAGCCCTAGTCAATGTAGAGAGCGGAGCCCTAGTCAATGTAGACAGTGGAGCCCTAGTCAATGTAGAGAGCGAAGCCCTAGTCAATGTAGAGTGCGGAGCCCTAATCAGTGTAGAGAGTGGAGCCCTAGTCAGTGTAGAGAGTGGAGCCCTAGTCAATGTAGAGAGCGGAGCCCTAGTCAATGTAGACAGTGGAGCCCTAGTCAATGTAGAGAGCGGAGCCCTAGTCAATGTAGAGAGCGGAGCCCTAATCAGTGTAGAGAGTGGAGCCCTAGTCAGTGTAGAGAGTGGAGCCCTAGTCAATGTAGAGAGCGGAGCCCTAGTCAATGTAGAGAGCGGAGCCCTAATCAGTGTAGAGAGTGGAGCCCTAGTCAATGTAGAGAGTGGAGCCCTAGTCAATGTAGAGAGCGAAGCCCTAGTCAATGTAGAGAGCAGAGCCCTAGTCAATGTAGAGAGCAGAGCCCTAGTCAATGTAGACAGTGGAGCCCTAGTCAATGTAGACAGTGGAGCCCTAGTCAATGTAGAGAGCGAAGCCCTAGTCAATGTAGAGTGCGGAGCCCTAATCAGTGTAGAGAGTGGAGCCCTAGTCAGTGTAGAGAGTGGAGCCCTAGTCAATGTAGAGAGCGGAGCCCTAGTCAGTGTAGACAGTGGAGCCCTAGTCAATGTAGAGAGCGGAGCCCTAGTCAATGTAGAGAGCGGAGCCCTAATCAGTGTAGAGAGCGGAGCCCTAGTCAATGTAGAGAGCGGCGCCCTAGTCAATGTAGAGAGCGGAGCCCTAGTCAATGTAGAGAGTGGAGCCCTAGTCAATGTAGAGAGCGGAGCCCTAGTCAATGTAGAGAGCGGAGCCCTAATCAGTGTAGAGAGTGGAGCCCTAGGCAATGTAGAGAGTGGAGCCCTAGTCAATGTAGAGAGCAGTGCCCTAGTCAATGTAGAGAGCAGAGCCCTACTCAGTGTAGAGAGTGGAACCCTAGTCAATGTAGAGAGCGGAGCCCTAGTCAGTGTAGACAGTGGAGCCCTAGTCAATGTAGACAGTGGAGCCCTAGTGAATATAGAGAGCAGAGCCCTAGTCAATGTAGACAGTGAAGCCCTAGTCAATGCAAAGTACAGGGCACTAGTCATTGTAGAATATGGAGCACTAGCCATTGAAGAGTATAGAGTGCTAGTCATTGTAAAATATGGAGCACTAGCCAATGTATGTATGGATGAGCATGCCCCCTACACTATGAGATGCCACATATTATTATCATAGGTCATTTTAGAAGGCTGACAATTTATGCAGCACTCTACATATATTGTACAATCACAATCCTTGCTCTCTATGAGCTTACAGTTTTTGCACATGCCAGTTTAGACAGGAGCCAATTATTTTATCAGCATGTCTTTGGAGTGTGGGAAGAAACCTTATTCTTGAGGGTTAGGAAGTGATGTGAATGCAATATATATATATATATATATATATATATATATATATATATATATATATATAGAGCACTGCGTAAATTGACGGCACTATATAAGTACCTGTAATAAATAAAATAAATAACACGAGTACCCACATGAAATTCATGCAAGCACAGGGAAAAAATGCAAACTCCATGCAGGTATTGTCATGGTTGGGGTCCGAATGATCAATGATCTTAGTGCTGCACGACAGAAATGAAAACCACCAAAGCCCACTGTGCTGCCGATTTTGTGTTGCTTCTCAATGGAGGTGTATTCACTAACTTAACCAGAAGTTTAGTAATAGCTCATAGG